CAAATTTGTTGTTTGTGCTGAAGTATTTTGATCATTATTTAATCCTATCATACATAAATATATAATTAAAAATATATATATTAGGTCGTTCAATAATTTATTTGGGATACTTGGGAAATGTTTATTAAATTTTTTTATTTCTACTAGTTACCAGAAATAACTTCTTTTAATTCGGAGATTTGTGCTTGAAGACCATTGATAATGATGTCTATTGAGGTTTCAGACATTTCCTTGGTTAAAAATACAAAAAAAAAATTTTTTTTTTTTATAAACGTACGGAACGACGATCAATGTCCAAAATAAGAACGTGACAAAAAAAAAAATTTTTATTTATTTGTTTTAAAAAAAAGAGAACCAATTAGAAAATTTAAAAAATCATTTCAAATACGATTGAAAATAAAAAAAAATCGATAAAAAAAAAAAATAATATAAAATAAATAAGATTAAAAAAAAGATTATTATTATTGTTTTTTTTTTTAAAGAGCCGCGATCATTTTATTAAGTGATCCATTCTCTTTGGCTGCTAAAAGGTCATCACAACCTACATAATGATGAATAAGAATCAATAAAGAATGAATGATGAAAAATAATTATTTTTTTTTTTTAAAAAAAAAAAAAAAAAAATAAAGCACCTCCAACGTGTTGACCTCCAATGAAAATGTTTGGTACGGTATTTTGTTTTGTTTTCTCTTCGAGATAATCTTGAATGTCAGAACCTTTAGCTACATTTTCAAATCATTTATTTTATTTATTTTTTTTTTTTTGAAATCACAAAATGTCTTTAAAAATAAATATTGCTTACATTCAGTATCTAATTCGATAACTTCATATTTTTTGTTTAGACTTTCAAGTACACCCTTTGCCCTTTTACAATATGGACAATATGATTTGCTAAAAATCATGATTGGATTTTCTTTAATAAGTTTCTATATTATTTCATTTACAAAGGAAGAAAGTTTAATAACAATTCTCTTGATTCCCCACATTTAATAAAACAAAAGACATCATAAAAAAGACATTTACTTCAACGAGATCTTTAACACCTTGACTCATGATTAAAATTTTGTAGTTTTGAGAAAGAAAAGGGAGGGAGCCTCATGATTTACGAATAAAAATAATATAAATATATGATAAATTGTGGATCTTTGACAAATTTGTAATCCATTTTATTCATCATTGCGCATATTTTAATACTTATTTGTAATAACTTTGATGGAATTTCATTACTAATATTTTCTAGCTTTTTATTCGTGCGTAAATTGCACTAAAACAATTTTAGCGATCGATTCACAGAAAAAAAAATAGATTCTTTTAAAGGATGTAAAAGACAATTAAATGCAAAATAAAAAAGAGGGAATAATTAAATACTACTACTATGATTGTATCTGCTCAAGTGAAAAAAAAATTCATATATAATTATTTATATATATAAGGATGTAAGAACGAAATCACTTCGATTTCACAAGAACAAAAAAACGAAAAATTAATTTATATCGACTAAATTCAAAATCTCGAAGCGACCATGATTTCTATGTACCAGAAGGCCTAGAAACCGTGGATCTTGATGATATTTTTATCGATGCCGTTGTCCCCAAGGAAGTTTTGGACCTTGAGACGTTGGTCTCCTTGAAGTTGAATTACTTGCCCAAGTTCTTCATCTTGTACAAGCGTACCGTTACAAGCGAATTCCTGTATTAGAAAGTAAATAGAAAAAAAAAAGAAAAATCAAACTTGTAATTGATCTTAAATATTAATCGAAAATTCAATCCTATAATTTTTTTTTACCTTTTTGAAAGCTTTCAACAATTTTTTCTTATCATATTCACCAGGTAGACCTTGAACAGTGGTCAAAGTCTTTCTACCGTTTCTCTGTTGTATACGAATATCTAAAAGGACGATCAGAAAGTCAAGGAAATAATAAAACATGTTTTATGCCAGTAAATGTATAAACATACGAAGAATAAACTCGAATAGATTTTATTCATATGAAAACGGTCATCTATAACAGGCAGATGACCTTTTACATAACATTAAAATAAAAGGATACGAATATACCCTTGAGGTTGTCCTGCGTCTTCTTCACCGGTGTCAGCAAAAGGGTCTATTGATCAAAAAAAAAAGTTGGGTAAATACGGAGGTCAAAAGGAAAATAAAATCTTTAATAAACATACCGTAGCTGTTAAGATTTTGGATGGTGGTCTCGGACATAAAAATTACGCTTTAAAACTTTACAGAAAAAAAATAAACAGTTGGAAAGGTCGAGTGTAAAAACTTTCTGTATTGTTTATGAACTTTTGATTAGGGTGTTATTTTCTTTTTTTATTTTTTTTGTAAAAAAAAAAATTTGTTCTGGAACGACGATTAAAGGGTGTTTATATTTGGTTTTTTTTTGGGGGATCTCGGTTATAAAAAATGTTACACATGATTTACAGCCGATTTCGAAAAAAAGCAAGGTGGTTATTCATATTTTGTCCTAGTTCAATTTCTTAAATTAGATTAGGTTGCCACTTATGAAATCACAATGATTTATTTTTTTCAATTATATAATTGTAACATAAAAAATATAATGCTCCCATAATTTGTTTATCAATTAAAATATGTTGTTCCGTTTTTGATACTTTCGAGTTCTACAAGATCAAAAAAGAAAAAAAGGACGACGATTATTTATTATCTGAAAATAAATAAATAAATAAATCAATCAAGAGAACAAATTATTTCATACCAATATGTTATGCTCAATTCCAAATGTATTGCTTCGTTTCTTGATTAAACCAAAATCTTCACAATATTCACACAACTTTTTTTTTACGTTTCTAATTTGATATTCTTTCCCGATATCATGTAAATTTATGCTATATATGTCTTTTCTATACACGTCATCCTCATAATTCTGGAGAATACTTATCTGACGCGCCAAGTTATAGGTAGCCTAATGAACATTGATATTATTATCATACAGAGGATAATATTAAAAATTTGAAATGTGTCGTATATAAATTATACATACATAAGCATCGGTTGCAGCATATTCAACCTGTGATGGGCTAAGATAGATATTATTCCAATTGCTCAAGATCACATTCCTTGGTTTCGCTAATTCATGTTGCAGCTACCGTGAAAAAAAGAAATTAAAAATTATGATCAAGCAAAGATTAATCATTTGAAATATTATTCCCTTACCAGCACTTCAACCATCTTATATAACGCGATTTTTCTTTTGGAAGAAGTTGAGGTAGACATATCCGTCCTGACTTGTACACATAAATGACTTAATTCCGCAAGACTTTTGCTTTGAATGGCATAATCTTTTAAAAGTTTGGTTCCATCTCCTTGTATATTGCATCCAAATTTGATCACATTTTTGTCTTCTAAAATACTTTTTAGTACCGCCGGAAACGTTGACATATGACTAATGTGAAAAAGAAATATGGTCGATGAATCACACAATTGTAATAAAGATACTTTGGATGGCTTTGGAAATGCTCGCCATTCACAATCCAATCCAAATGTATTAGATCTTTAATAATTTTAAGGAAATCGACGCGTTTAAGCATTTTGGGGGGAAATGTTAATATATTTCTATGTTAAAAAAAAAAAAAAAAGTTGAATATAATTGCATGCAATGCAATAATCAAAAAGGAATTTTTAACTTGTTTCTAAGCAACCATTCGTTGGCTTCAAGTGAAGACTTCGTATATTTCAAGGTATATGTTTTATCATTCTTATATGATAATAATGGCAAATTGTGCGTTTTTTCGGTTTTCGTTTGAATATTTGAAAGAACTTTTTGTTTCAAGCCACGCGTAATAGGGCCGAATTTTCCACTGAAGACCACGTTAGTTCTCTGGTGGTTTATTAATAATGTCAGTGACAAGTTAAAATAGTCCGATAAAATAAAAATGATTATTATCTCACTCGACCTTGAACTTGTTAAGCATGTTCGTTCACTATATAGGTAACCAAGAACGAAATATTTTACGCGTAAAAATTCTCATATATCATAAATCAGGGCCCCTTCATAAATTCCGTATACCATAGAATTTAACGGGAATTTCAAGTTTTATGATCATTAATTACTCAAACCAATGATCTTTACAATTTTGTATTCATTAATTCAATGAACGTGATTTATTTGTTTCAATGTAGATAAAAAAGAGAATATATAATAAAGAGAATAATGAAAATAAAAAAAAATAACTAGCTATAATACATCAAAAATTTTATTGTAATACTCATTAACCGCATCCACAACATTTACCATAAGCATCTTTCTCTGAATTGTTCAAAATAAAGAAACGTTAAAAAAATTATTCACGTATTAATGAAATAGTCTTATGATTTTGAATGAATAATTTACCTTCATGTTTAACGATTCTTCTAATTCGATTGGATCCACCATTGGAAGAACTACTAAAACCATTGCTTTCTCTTAGAGTTTCAGCTGCTGAAGGCTATTTTATTATTTTAAAATATTTAGTGAATCTATACAATTTCTAATTAAAAACGCTCTTGCAAAAAGACTTACCGAGAATAAAGTATGAAAGAAATTGAAAATAAAGAAATATGTATACAAAAAGAAGTCATACACAACTCTCGTAATAGTTCGTTGTTCACAAACTGTTCCGTCTACGTAATAATTGATCGTTTCGCTTAGAACATTGCACCAAAAATACGAAAAGAAATACGAAAATACCTACCTTTGGCGATATACTTTGTCATTTGGGTTTTTTTTCTTAAGAATTTTGATATGCTGTAAAATTTGTAAAATTGCAAAATATTCATTAATTAATAATGTCTAATTATAGATATGCATTGTAACGTTGTAAAGTTAGACGTTGAGGAATTTGACATTTGATAGTTCTTATTTTTTTGATTGACAAATATGGTATACTATCGTTATTATCAATAGTAACATACCACGTTTTTTTATTGACATTCCCAACTTTTTTTTGAGGAAAAAAAAAAACTCATTAACCACATAACCGTACTTTGTAGCGATGATGGTACAAAGTCACAATCTAAAAACTAATATATTTCCAAATGAAATATTTCAACATGCTCTTGCATTACTTCCGTTAAAAGAAATATATTCATTCAAGCGAGTCAATAAAGCATGGTATCGTTTATGTGACCATGCAATCGTTGAACATATTACAACCTCGGGTTCAAAAATCCACGTTCGAGCTGGTACCTCAAAGAAGCCAAAACTTTGTTATGATCTTAATTTCGTAGGTTATGATCCTATTTCAAACATTTTCACATTCCAACCTCTTCATGATAATATAGAATCGACTTTTTGTTATCTAAAACATTTGCGAGAAATTAGAATATTATTTGGAGAATGGGAAGGTGTCAATACAACACTAAACAAATTTTCCCCATCGGATCCGAAATTTGAAATTCCTAATAGGCATGTTGATCCGCAAGCATCCGAGGTGTTAAGACGTGCTAAATTAGAATTTCATAAAAATTACATAGAGTCCTTACGGAAAGTATATCAATTAGATGATGAACCTTCATTAAAAGAAGGAACCATGATATCCTGTTTAGGAGACAAAGATATCGTATTAAAGTGTCATATAACTACCGCACTTCCTTGTAATGTACCGAATGACCAACTGAATTTCGAGGATGATGATGCAGGGGGTGTGGTTTATAGTTTAAAGATAGATTTCGTTAAAGTTTGTGCTTCTTGGTTAGTTTCTGGTACAACATCAAATTTTATTCCAGAGGATTCGCGAAATCAAATATTTGCTCCTAGATTTAATCTTTTGGATCAAATTCTTGCCGAGCACAACATTACAAGATATTATCGTTATTCTTCAATAGTTCTTAAATGGATCTTATCAGATTATGATAGGAATGACAAAAAAACCATCGAATTAATTCAACGTATATTATATACCCAGGGAAATTTTTCAATACGAAGTAAAGTTGAAACGGCATTAGAGGAACAAAATGTGAAAAAACAAAACATGTGGAAATATTCTTTAGTAGCACGATTCCTTTGCGATCCTGATTCTTATCCTGATCCTCTCGACATGGTCGTGGATAGGGTTGTTCGTGCCGAACGTAGTGAATCAGATCAAATGAAAGACAATAATCATCACAAACTTTCAAGATTCTCTCGTGGATTATATTTCATAAAAATGAAATTTATTTTATCAGATACTTAAACATTTCTAGACTTTCATTACCCACCCCCTTTTTTTTAATTTATTTACTTTGTATAGATTAAATAATTTTTTTTTGATTTATTTATTTATTTTTTTTTTTTTTTTTTGATAAACGTATTATTTATTACAATTAATAAAATACAATAAAATATGTTAAGATGAATCGGTACTTTTTACTACTAATGTCTCGCTAGATGATTCAGGTGATGATTTTAACGACCGACGATAACTACAAATTATAAGTTCATGTTAATTTTAATCGTATATAATAAAACCGTCCAACAATAGATATGTTATATACTAACTTCCATATTCTATACATTTGGGTTAATCCAGTTCCAGCTACAAATAAATTTACCGATAATAAAGTATAATTTACAGGGATAATTTGTGTGGAATATCGTGACCAAATCAATCCTGTCGCTGTAAGAGCTTTATACAAAATACATTCAAGTGGAAGGTTAAAAATGAATCCTAAATTCCCGAATAAATGATTTGAAATATTATATACGAACCGCAAGTTTGAGATACTGATAACGATTCTGGGGGTCGCTTGAGATCGCTTATACCAGCAATAACCAAGCCCTAAAATAATAACATGGTATCACTAGAGAATTCTTGTCGTAAAGAAAAAATATTTTAAAACGCTAACCCATTTCATAACCGGCGCCCAAAAATGAACGGTTTTTGGACCTTATCACAGAAAAAGAATAAAAACGTATATAATCAGGGTTTATAGAAAATGAAGAATTCCTTGAATATACAAACAATAAATACCCGCAGGATGATTAATAAATCGTTGAAACCTGGATGAGACTACCGCATTCGCTGCCATTTTGGAAATAACAAAATTTTAGGTGGTTGTATAAACAAATTTCTCTTACGAAACAAAAATAAAATGGCGATTTAGTTTTTGAGCATAACTCACATGATTTGTTAATTTACCCTCCTGATGTAATTCTAATAATCAATAGATCAGTCGGTTAATTCTTACTTAAAAATGTTCTTTCAGTGATAAACAACACATGATCCATGTTTAGGGTGAATGAACTATACTATTTTAAAATTCCTATTCTATTAGTTTTCGTTTATAAATTTTAAAAATCTATAAAATTTTTTAATAGTTAAACATTTCAACAATTTTAATTCAAGTCACTCTCTGATTTTTTATAGTCTAATTTTTCTTTTCTATAGAAACTTTTTTAAAAATTTTTACAAGTTAGTCTAGTGAAATACTACTTTAAAACTAATTAGTTTTAAAAGTGGTATTTCACTTGAACTATATTATGAGCCACTTCATAACCTGGATAATACAAATAAAACCTTGTTATCACTTTATAACCTGAAAAATGCAGATATAATCTGATTACCACTTCATAATCTTAATATAATCTATTTTCATAATTCAATTATCACTTCATAATTTAGTATCAGTTAACTTTAAGTACTCTAGTTATTTCTTGATTTTTCTTACTATTCATATTTATATATTGGAATGATATAATCACAACTTCATAATCTAACTATCACTTTATCTTATAATTTAACTATTCTTATTTTCCTTCCTATTTTTGGCCTTTTTTATTATTAAAAAACTATTAATGTATTAGTTTGCTTTTGCATCTTTTTATTACTAAAAGTTATCTAAATGTTAACCTGTTTCTATGCTTATTTTATTACTAAAGAAATATTACATATTTATTAACTTTTATGCCTTTTTTATTGTCAAAAAATATCTTATTAAATATTAGGTGATATAGTAAATTTGTAATTAATTTTGGCCAATACTATAATATAATTATGATTGATCTTGAAGAATATAATTTAGCATTATGCTAATATTACTGTCAGAAAACTAAAGAGATTCTATTAATTTGTCAGTTTCAAATCACTTTTATACTAGCTTTGATGCCTAAAATTACCTTATTATAACTTAAGATTTAGATCTTTTCTCATCATTTTTTTATCACTTTTGAATTTTAATCTAATAGATTAGTTAGTTAAAGAATTAGAAATGCAATATATTTTTTCATAATTTAGAAGTTTTAACTTAAGAATTCTATAGCTAAATCTACTATATACTAAAAAAGCTAAAGAATAATATTTAATAACAATCTTTTTTCATATTTTATATAATAATTTCTTTTGATAAAGGATTTATCATACCTAAATATATATTTAAAAATATATAAACTTCTTCTAATTTTTATATAATAATTTTAAAAAGATATATTATAATATAAAAGACTCACATAATAAGAATTATATAGTATAATAGAAATAATCTGTATAATTAAAATATATTGTATAACAAATGATTTATAAATTAGTGTAATATAAAAGATTTACAGATTAACTGATAAATAATCAACCAAACTAGAAAAATAAATCATTAATTATGATGATATGTTTAAATTAAAGATACTAAAAAAAGAATTAAAGAAAATATAAAAATTCTAAGTTAAAAATATTAAAAAGAAATTAAAGGAGAAAAATTAAAAAAAGAAATAGAATTATTATTAAGTAATAATAAATAATAGTATAGTTATAATTAATACTAAAGATGGTTCTTATAATTACTTTCAAATTTCAATTAAGTTATAATTTAATTATATTATAAGTTACAATTCAATTGCATTATTTTTCTTTTAATTATAGTATATATCTTTAATTAGTATATTATAAAATAATATTTAATCATAAATTATAAGACTATTGTATAATAATCAAATAATCGAGTAATAATTACTTAATTTATAGCGTAAATATTTAAGATAAATAAGATAATTGTTATATAATTTTTTAAAATAGATTATTAATTAGCATAAAATTTTTTTGTTATAAAAAGTTTAAGAAATTCAATTAACTTTTTTAAGAAGTAAATTTATTAAGATATAAATTGTATTTCTTGAAAAATTACCTTTTATTTATTTATTAATAAAGTAACTTTATAATAAATAAACCTTTGAATATATTTATTTTACTTATTGATAAAAAAGTAACTATATACAAATAAAATCCCATATAGTATTTTTTTAAAAAATAAAGGAATAATCTCTTTATTAGTTATTATCATATATCTTTAAAATAAGCAATATATTTTTACTATAGAATTGCTTATTTTTAGGTAATTAAAATATAAAAAGTCAAAAAAGTTAATTAAACTTTTTAAAATTTAATCAACGTAAATCTTGTAATTGTAGATCATTATTTAATATATAAAAGATCACATAAATTTTACATAATACATAAATTAGTTTTAAATTTATTTACTACAGTATACTATAATACAATGTCTAAAAAAAAACAAGTTAAAAAAAATTAAATAAATTATTAAATGCAGATAAAATTCTTATTCTGTAAAGTAGAAAATAAAAGTTATTACATACATAAAAGAGAAGAAAAATATTAAAGTTGCAGAATACTTTAATATTGATATTAGTATAGACCTTGGCAAAAGTAATGGCACTCAGTTTTTTAATAATTTGTGTGCAATTTTATAATAAAAAATCAAAAAAAAAATTTTATTTTCTGAAAGATCAATCAAAATTACACTATTCTCTTGACTTCTTTCTCAACTTTTTTTTTAAAATAGCCTAAACATTCTCAATAAGATTAAGGTCAAGGCTATAGAAAGGTCAAGAAAGAAAAGGTGAGTTTTCAAGTCACCTTGAATATTATGAGAAGTATGTTTCAGGTTATTATCTTACTGAAAGACCTATTAATTATCATATAAATGTTCATTCAAAATTTGGTGGTATAAATGATGATCCAAAATTTCAGTGAATATGTGTATGCCAATATTTCTCTTAACGCTGATTGCACCCTAAACATGAACTTTAAATGGGTGTTTTACCATTAAAGCAATAGGTTTTTTATCACATAACTATGCTGAAAGGGTATTACAGAATATTTGAAGTGTAGTTTCATCAGAAAATACCACTTTTTTCTAATTATAATTCACGTGATTACGGGTCTAAAACAACTAGTTTTCTTTTACTTTCTGTGTTAAAAAGAAACTTTTCTGAGACGAATAGATACAAATCCAAAATTTTTTAGCTTATAACGAATGGTCTGTTCACTAACTTCAAGCTTTAGGTTTTTTTTTTTAAGTTAGATCTTCATTTCACTTACTGTAGTAAAATGATTATGCTTAACGATTATTTCAATTTAGTAGCGTTTTTTAGGAGTCAATTTTTGTGGTTGATCAGACTAATAACCTATAGTAATTTTACCAATTTTCTTTAATAAACTAATATAATGATAACAGGAACATAAGAGAACACCTGTTCTTTGTGAAATTTCTCTTGCATTTTAGATTTTTTGTTACCAAAGAAGGTTAACAACATTTCAATTTCTTTTAAGAGTGGTTAATACCTTTTTAAATAAAAAACATGAAAAAATTTATTTTTTTCTATACAGTAGCGGTCATAAGTATCTGACCGCTTGAGATCATCAAAATTATTATATAACTACCTCTTAAATTTTCCAAAAATATAATGTAACACAATACATGATTACCTGTAAATTTATAAGTGTCAATGATACAAAAAAAAATTTAGATGATCATCAAACTTTCGCTTGAAAA